TCTCTGGTGGCTTGAGCAATTTGTCCTTCTCCTTCCGTGGTCTCAACTCCTTGCGAGACGCCATGCACAGCGTCTTCCTGTGCCATCGGCATTTGGTTGCGTTTTCCGTTTCTATTTAAAACTCCGGTCTGTCTCAGCTTTTGTAGGGGACTTGTTCTTGGAAGCCCAGACAGAAGTTTGAGCTTTCCCTGATGCATCCAGGTACCATGCCATCCCCAAGGGCTTGAACATGTCCATCGTGAACCCAGGAGGTGGGGATGACGATTTGTCATGATTTGTTCACGGGTTGATATGGATTAGTACACCACAATAAACAGACATTGCAGGACAATGGCCACACTCATCGTCCATAATTCACAGCTCAGCACGCTGCCAGTTTTGCTGAAGGTCTTTCAGGGTACAGTACGCCTAACGACGTCTCGTTTGTGGGTCAACCAGGGTGCCTGAGTGTTGACCCAAAGCAGACTGGGGGCTGGCTCAAATCGTTAGACTCAGGAGATCTCAGGAGCAGGTTACAAGGGCGAGTATGGGATGGCACCAGAGCCATCGGGCTCACCAGAGCCATTGGTCTCTTGCCATCTCTGCCACTGCCGGCCGACTCTGCCAGGTTTGCCTCGCTATGAGGACATCGATGCCCACAGCCGCAAGCTGTGCGAGGAGGCCTCGCGAGAAGCGGTTCGTTTCGGTTTGTGCAGATTTGTGCAGCACGCGGTTCGAGCGGTTCCGGTTCGGTGTCGGTTTGGCGACCCTGCGGTTCGGTTCGGTTCGTTTTTTTTTGTTTTATGATTTGTATGTCCGCGATTTACTGCGTTTCCTCGATCTGGCAGTTTTGTGATTGGAGAATAATGCCACCAGGTGATCCTCAACAAGTCTGCAGATGGCAAGCACGTGCAGCAGCTCAGGGAGGGGTGATTCAGTCAGCCACTGACAGCACATTACCACATCAAGATGGCAGGGTTTAGTGATGTTTAGTGGCTTTGTTGAAGGCAACGGTCAGTTTGTACGCACATTTTCAGCATTGACAAGAAACCTGCTTTTGCAGGTGTACTTGCAGTACCTGCTTTGGTCAATGCTTTTTTTTCATCCAATTAAGATCTAGACAGTAGACACTTGCATCTCCAAACCTAGCAACTTGTCCTTTGAGCTCTTTCTTCCTGGGTCATTCATCGGACCCTTTTCAGGTGGAGCGCTTCCTGGAGTACGCTGAGGCCGAGCACGATTTCTGGGATTTGTCGGGTGTATCTCGGTGTATCTCGGATTCAGCCAGTCGGTTGGCAGGCTGTGCGAAAGCCTGCAGCTTCCGCTGGTGCTGGCGGAGGAGGTGCTGAGAAGGCGAAGGTGCCAGCACGGGGGGCGCAGTGGAGCGCATTTGGGGCGCAGTGGTGCATAATACTCCAAATGTTAGCCACTTCTAGTCATTGTCCACCTTTGGTAGGAAGTGCACCCTAGGCTCTTTTGTAAGAATTGATGGAGCATGATTCATGGATGCTCTTTTGAGCTTGTCAACAAGTCAAACAAAAAATATCCCAGATCCCACCTCAAATCCATGTTCTTCATTTTACAAATCTCCGACAGCAACAGCTGAATAGCGTGATGGTGCCCAGTGCTGACAAATAGCACGCACAGTGGTGGTGAGCAAAAACACCGCGTGGGGCTGTCAAGCTGCGCACCTGGAAGTTGCTTAAAATCGAATCATTGATCATCATTGATTTTTGTCGAATGGATCTTAGATGATTCATTGGCCTTACTACTAGGAGCAAGGACGCTACTAGGAGCAAAGGATCCAAATATGTCCAAGTTCCTTTGGGATTCTTGGCGAATGGGCGAAGGGTCGCACTGAGGCACTGCACATCTAAGCACGCTTGTCCCCCGTTTTTGCAGAGTTCGATCTCTTGAGATCAGGGGAAGGTACAACGAAACATTGCAGACTTTCAATGATCTCTCTCTCTATATATACATATATATATAAGTATGGAATAATATACTTAGTATTGCACAAACTTAGTATATAGTGTATTCGAGCTTAGTATATAGTGTATTATACACTTATTGTATATATACACTAAGTTCGTACCGATTATATAAGCATGGAGAATCCGATTGCCACAAGCTCCATTTGCCTGTCCTCCTTTCCACATCAGGATGCCTGGCGCAGCGGCACCTACACCGAGCGTTTGCACTACGGGCAGGGCGGCACAGCGTTTCACATTTCAGCCGAACCGGTTGAGTCTGACTGCTGATGGAGTCAAAGCCTATTGGAGCTTCTCCATCGAAGCTCAACAAGAAGAACAACAATAGGTCTCAAGAACCAACCTCCTAGGATTATCCTTGCTTGTTCATTCTCGGCTGGTCTCCCAGCCTTTCAATCCCGTGACACGGGTCCTGTGATCATGTGGTTTGGCGCAA